TCTGCAATGGGCAAGGAACAACGGATGCCCCTGGGACGAGGACACGTGCTCCAAAGCGGCTTGGAACGGGCATCTTGAGGTGCTCCGATGGGTAAGGAACAACGGATGCCCCTGGGACAAGGAGACGTGCTCTAGAGCGGCTTTGGGCGGACACCTTGAGGTTCTGCAATGGGCAAGGAACAACGGATGCCCCTGGGACGAGGGGACGTGCTCCAACGCGGCTTGGAACGGACATTTTGAGGTCTCCAATGGGCAAGGAACAACGGATGCCGCTGGGACAAGGAGACGTGCTCCAACGCGGCTTTGGGCAGACACCTTGAGGTTCTGCAATGGGCAAGATACAACGGATGCCCGTGGTCTAGAGAAGAATGCCTGCGCCTGGCTCGCGGAAACCACCATCACATGACTGCTTGGATTCACATCAACTACCCCAACACCCAACAGCGGGTCGTGCGATAGCAACGACACGTTCCGCAGACGATGTGGCATGGATAAATACCTTTCTAGGCTATTCACGCCCAAGGGTATAAGTACGAGCGGGGCTTGAGGGTTCCGGTGGGCTTGTGAGGAATTCTATCGAGGCTACACATCCGTGACGAGAAAACAATCAAAAATACAAAAGTCTGACACGAGATGCCGAGCGAACAGCGTAGCCTTCGTGCTCAGCATTGTGCAATAAGATGGTAATTTCGGTGCGCAGGTACTTTCCGCGAAGTCTCGGGGAAACCGTGAAGAACCGTAAACGGAACGGGGGTAAGATCCAACAGCGCGTGCCTCACGCCGCCGTGCAGAAAATTGCGGTGACACAATCCTTTCGCGGGCGTGCGTGCTTCCAACCACGAGGAAGTAATTGATTGTCTCATGTCGACGGAACGCAAGGAAATATAAACCTGATTTTGGACTACGTTTGGCCGGTTTGTTGAAGTTGAGGTGCTTGATTTCGAGAGGCAGCATTTGGGCCTGGGGGACACGGGCTTAGAAAAGAGAAAGTGCATCACATGACTCTGCAATCACATTTATTTCAAGTCAAACATAGAAAAGCCGTAACGAACGTCACGGATCTGAACATGGGCGCGACACGGTGCACCAGCGTAGTAGTAAAAAGGGGCGAAGAGCAATGTCCACACCGCGAAAGTGTGGCCTTGGATCGATTCGCGTGCTACCTGGTCAGTATAACTCTCTCTTCCACTTCCGCTGTGCATGGCCGCCTATCGCACGAGGAAGTACATCTGTTTTTTTCGCACCGTACCGGTTCCGGATGTCTCCCGTAGTATTATCACGGAACGTGGTGTTGAATGTTCGTTCTGGGGTATTCTTCACTCATTCTGCTACGCCCCATTAGTCCTTTACTCTCACCCCACCCGTCGGTGTTTGTTCCCCAATTAACTCTTTGCGTTTGGTAAATATGCTGGTGAACAACCCTCCTCACAGCCGACCACTGCTACCCTCTAATCCCTTCGGCACAAGCAACGTGTTCATCGAGCCCCCGCATCACAAGCCGTCCCGTTTTCATTCGTTTCCAACCCTCACGTCCATGTCCCCTTCGCCCGCGCCTCCGGCTACAACGAAAGGAGAAACCCGCGACCGAAACGGTGCAGGCATTTCCTCACTTGCACACTTGGCCGAGCTTATCCGGCCCAGCATTGGCAACTACGTGGCAGCAGGGGTGCTTGATACGAAAGTGCGTATGTGTACCAACACGTGGTACATGCAATTTTGCACTAGGGTGATTCGCAAAATTTCCAAACACATGCTACCCTCCGGACCCCGCAAGTAATATTCTGGTGCCAACATATTTTCAACATGACAATCTCTATGTATATTTCTTTCCGGTGGTCGCGCCATGGGCTCCCGGTACAGTCATGATGTCACTACATTTCAACAAAATGGCAGAAGCGTGAAACAATTGGTCCTGACTGGAGGGATGCCCAAATAAGGCCCAGCATAGAACGACAGCACCATATGTAGTGTGTACACCCCAAAACAACATGCGCCACCATTGAAGAATTCGAAAAAAATAACACTGGTAGAGCCTACCGATTGAATCTGGTTGTTGCAGTCAGAAAAAGAGAGGAACGCATGGCATCCCACAAGATCGCATTTCTCCTGCGGTGGAGGACCGGCCCCCTCTCGAGTGCAATCAACCAACAAGACAGGCATTTTGCCAGGGCATGCACCAGTCGATGTCACGAGCGACGATGAGTCTAGGTCCTTAGCGAGACAGGAGTGCGTGCGCGGCTTCTCCCCTTGACCCCGGCAACTTGTTTGTATTCGACAATTCGTTTACAGCGGACAACCGAGCCCATAGTGAGAAGTTCGATACCCTCCCCTCACCCCCCATTCCTCGATGCTGCAGCTGACGTCCTCCCTGTAAGGAATGAATCCTGGGTGCCTCCTCCACCCCGCGCCGAGGCGAGTCCCCCCCGAAATTGCTGCCAAAGATGGTTTCCCGCCTGCAGTGAAGGCCGCGGGCGAATATGATGACTCTGGTGGCGTGGGTTCTGACGTCGATGTTGTGGTCGCGACAGCCACCGCCGTTCGCTGCACCCACCGCCGCAGCAACCCCATAGCACAAGAGGCAGCAGCGCCACCGAACCACGACTTGGAGGAAGGGGCAAGTGGTGTCGTTGGCATCGCTTCAGCAGCACCACCACCATCTTCATTACGGTCCTCACCGCCAACAGCAACACCACCGCCACCGTCTACACCACCACCGGCACGCACATCACCATCAACCGCGGCAGGGATCCCGAGCCCATCCGCCGAGCCCCCCTGGTTTCCTCCAATGGCGAGACCCGATCCGCCTACAATTCGCTGGCCGTCTTCCCCCGCAACGACGACACCGCCGACGTCGAGCAACCCACTCGAAGTAGACCCCCGTAATAGCGCATCGTGGAGCATCCTTCGGCCGCCCCCGACCCCGACCGCACTTCCCTCCGCCGCACGGGCAGTACCCGCGACACCATCCCCAGGTTGAGAAATGAATGCGGATCTCGCTGGTATGCTCGGAGCGATGCTGATACCCTTCCCTCGGTGCAGTGCTCCTGCCGCCACCGCATCGGCTCTGTGGCGGTCATCGCTGCCGTCGCTGTCGTCGCTGTCGTCGCTGTCGTCATTGTCGTCGCTGTCGTCGTTGTCGTCGCTCGCTTGAATGTTGCGGACACTCTCGGCTGGTGCGACCCCTCCCATCTCACCCCCGGCCAACCCAGCAGCACTTTCCTCACCCTCCCCGTTGGACACAAAGGGAGAGTACGCCGCTGCCGGGGGATAGATCTGGTTGCGGCCGGCGTTCTGATTGGTCAGCATACGAGTGGAGCCATAGGATCTTGGACATGGGAACTTGAAAGAAAAAGTGCTCTGGCGAGATGAAGCCTGCCTGGTTTGGTCGTGTGCGTGGCTCGTATATCCGAAATGAACCCGAAACATTCAACAAGCTGCGCAACTTTGATGTCCGGAACCCGTAACAAGCGGTTTTGAAGCAACTCGAAAGGGGCCGGTGTGAACTTCGAAGGGGGTACGAATACTGGTACATCTACCTCCGGCACTTCTGTGTGCCCGAATTGATGAAAAAATGTTACTATTTAGGCGAAACGAAGGTTGTGTGATTGGTGCACGCACGCGCGACATTTATGACGAGATCCCTTCTTTTTTCAATCCTTTGTTGTTACGAGCCTGCCAACCACACTCGGATGGATTACTTCAAGGGTAGTTACACCCCCCACAATATCGCAAAGCAGAAATGACAAAACACCAGCTGGAGTACATTTTGATAAATGAGTTCAAGAGGATCTGAATTTAGGAAACCTACGAAAGGATCCGAGGGGTGAACGAGGGACTGGACAGCAGTCCCAACAACATGATGACAGCATGCAACAAACCACTTGTATGCCAGAGACAAAGAGAACAACATTAGCGTACACTGCTAGTTTTCACCCCACGACGACCTCTCAACGCGGCGGCTCTCACCCCAAACTTCCGCTGCCCCCGTGCAACCGGGTCCACGCGGCCGATGCCGCCACCGCTATCACCAGATCCCAACAGTTCTTGCACTATTCCTCCGCCTCTGCCTCCGCCACCGCTACCGCCACCACCACGACCGCGAGCTTCATCGCCACACACACTTCCACCGTCGCCAGAAAGTACCGGGCAATCGGCTAGGTCGTCTTTTGCGGGACTGGTGTCATTGCCCTCCCTCGGCGAAGCTACCTCGTGGGAAATACCTGGGTTGTTGCCACCGTCACCAGCCCGGTATTCCTGATCGACCATCGACGTTCTGGTGTAGTCGAAGAGTCTAGAGTTCTCGGTCGTCCGAAACGCTGGATGCGGCGCAGGTCGAGGCGCGATATTCCTTTGGTTCGGGTCGTAGATACTGCTGCCGCCGTTCCTTGACTCACCACTGGTCATACCTTTGCCCCCCTCCACCGCCGCCGCCACCGTTTCTGCCTTCGTTACCGCTCCCACCTGTCCAATCTCCACCCCGTCGGCAGGGAAACTCTCCGTCGCGTGCCGATCAACCGCTGCGAGTAGCCCTGAAGGAGTTACATCCCCGCCGTCGCGGGAAACGGGACCGTCTCCCGTTCCTTCATCTGGGCTGCAGAAGCGGAGCCTAGAGTTCGAGCGGCGCCGGTAGTGGCTCCGGACCGCGGGATTCATGGAAGACTCGCCGAAAAAAGTGCATCCGGCAGCACGACCACCCCCAGTAGTAGCTGAAGTCACGGCACCGAACCACGGTTGGCGAGTGTGCGTCGTCACCGAGTGGCTGAATCCGGGGGGTGGCGGGAGGCTACTTCGGAAAGGGCCATGACTGGGGCCAGGAGCGGAGCCTGGGCCGGGGCCAGGTCCGGTGCTAGCGGCGGCGCTAGGGCCGGCAGGATGAGTCGTGCGGTCGTCGTATCCCAAAAGACGGTCAGCGGCCAACGCTAGCGCCGCCTCGTCATCTTCATCGTCAAGAATCCCGTAGGTGTCGTCCTCGTGGCTGGCCAGAGCGATGTTGCTGGCTTTGGCGCCTCCGCCGCCGCCGCCGCGACCTACAGCCGAGTAATCGCCACCCGAGAGGCGGAGGCCGTAGTCGTTCCAGACAGACAGGCCTGGAGCGCCCCTCATGTCCGCGGTCGCGGCAGTAGCAGCGCTACCGGTGCCGTCGGAAATGCCGTCGCCGTAGGCGAAGGGGAAGTCGAAGCTGAGATCGAACGCTAAGTCTCCCACGGGCTCGTCGGCACCATCCAGGCTGAGATACGGAGCCCTCTGGAGGGAAGGAGGTCTCACGAGCTGGGAAAGGACGAAAAGCAGGCGGGGAGGGGAGAGTGGGGTGGGAGGGGGGTGAGAGATTACTACCTTCACGGGGTTCCTGTAGGAGAGGTTGTCACGTTCAGCTAATACGGCTCGTACCGTGTAGCACGGCAATGGTGTGTTTCATGCTTGAGGGCGCTTAAACGTTGTCGCGGAGGCCTTGTGAAAAGGTCAGACAACAATACGTGATTCTGAGTAGATTGGGAATACCTTCAGGGGCAAGATGAGGCGAAAAGGGGGTGAAGGAGGGTTCGAAGCCGAGAGAGGGGGGGGCTTCCACACAAACTCCTGAGTTTCTGTCATTTGTCGTGCGCTGTAGTCGAGCTGGGGCTGCGGCTGCCCTGTGGTAGGAAACCCTGATGTACTTGGATGATTCAATATTCTATTGCGTGCAGGTGAGATATTCTCTGATAACGAGCTTCTTGCTGGATATGGCACACCCCATGTACTCCTACTGGCCAGGTTTCCTGACACGTCCCGCTGCGTTTTGGTAGTCCACACTGTTCCAATATCCCTTCTACGTACGTGAGGTTCGTCTACATCAACGTGCATGGGACATATTTCGAGAAAGGTACCCTTTAAAGCCTATCTCCTGGTACAATACATTTCATGCGTTTACCGGTGAAGGCTCCATGTACGGGGTCGCCGATTGGCTGGCTGGTGCCGGTATGTCGGGCCGGAGAATATAGGTCCCGCCGGTAGCGTGGGCCCTAGGGTTGCTCCACGCCCCATTCGCACCGGTGGGAACGCCAGGAGTACTGCCTGCCGTAACGCCACCCAGATCTCGAAAACGGCCCGAAGTCGACCTCGTTCGGCGGTTGCTGTCTTCGGTGGTGCTGCAGGCGCACTTGTGTTCCTGCTGCTTGAATCATCGTGTTTCCGAGGTGTGAGAGGATGGAGAGCGGGTAGGAAAGGAAAGAAGTCGGTGGAAACCAGGACGATCACCACACCAAGGACGGATATCTTCCATGTACTGAATGGGTACGAATGTGCATGGTTTCGACACCGAAATTTAGCGAGATTGGCTTGTTTTGTCTCAAGAAAACTGCAAAGAAAACATCCGAGACCAATCCCAACCCAAGGGAAATGGATATCGGGTTTCGTCACCCACCCACGACACCATCACTGGCTCATCCCAGGGTTATTGGGGTATCATCGGCTGAAAAGCGAAATGCGGTACGATTTTATGGACGCCCCGTGTTTCATGATTCCCCCCCCCAAGTGTCCCCGTGCGATGCTAACACATTCCAGGTAGATGCTGTGAGGAGCAAGAAAAGGGTGTGTATAATAATAGCTGCATGTAAATCCCCTACATTTCCCCACCAAACTAGTCACTTACGAATGAATACACATGTGTCGTTTGGTCAGTCGTTTATATCTCCTCGTGCGTGTTCGGCCCGGAAAAAAATGAGTAACGATTTCAGACTGACATTGGGTTTGACGACCTCCGCATTGAGAAACGGGTTACGGTTGTGGTGAACTAACTTACGGATGACGCGAACCGGGGCAAAGCAGACAACATTTTCGATGTTGACTTCGAAACACTGAGGTGCCCCTCAAGGTACAGAAGGACATGGAGGGGGTTGTCACACCGTGTTTTCGCTCGTCGCGTCTCGCGGTGCTACCTTTTTTTCGGAGTCGACACAACAAAACGCTTATTATCATGTACAGAGATGGTTATCCACGCGTAACGGTGACTGGGGGACGTAGGTCCGCCGCGTGCAAAGTAGCTTTCCAAAAAGTGTCGGCTCGTTCGCAACAGCGACGGCGAAAAAGACCTACCATCACTTGGAGAGCCGTCTTGGGGCGTGAAGTCCTTACGGCCGACGAGAAGGAAGACGAAGGGGCTACCGCCTGCCGGTTGCGCCGGAACGAGAACCGTGAGAGAGATCCAACCCCTCCCTCTTCGTCGTCCGAAGAGTCCAAGTTGCTGTTGTCGTGTTGGTGGCTCTCGCGGCCTTAAGGCGACAACAGGGCGGGACAAGCAACAAGGTGCACAAGTGCATAGATGTTCGAAACACGTTACCTCTGGGCGATCATAATTCTCCAAGAATGTTCAAAGTAAGCGCGCAGCTAGCTGCTGGAGGACTGTAACCAAACACATTGTCGCACACAGAAGCATCTCTTGAAATCGACTCGCAATTTCGTTGAAGCAACGTAACGGTCCACCTCAACGCCCACAGAAGAATCTACAAGAGCATGCTTTTGTCGGAGACTGCGAGTATACCGCCCCCAAAAATGCGGTGGTTGAGGGGGCTAGGGAGGAGAAAAACGTCTTTCGTGGGTGCTAATATCTCGATCGGATCGATAAACGTATCGTACTTTTTCACAGGCGGGCAAAAAATCGGGATACTATGGATGAGAAAGCGAGAGCGACCAGTTACCTGCAGCGATCGCTTCCGACATACGATCTTGAAAGCCAGCTGCGTTTGTGCATTGGCGAGCGAGCACGGCCTGGATGGAAGCTTCAACGTCTCCTGTGGGTTCCTGGCGGGCGCTACCACACAGAGCCTGGGCGGGTGCGGGAGGCGATGAAACATCGTAGTTTTTCGCGAGCCGAAGTCAGGATAACCGTTGGTCACAATTATCCTTCGACGTCCGATCGGCATCCCTGCTACCTGTTGTCGACCCTCGGTCAAAGCAGGCGAGAGCCCTGCCGCGGCTTCATTCTCCCCCCATCCACGACCTTGGTTACTTTGACACCTGGCTCATTTTATCAAAATGCTGAAAATCAGTCGTCCTCACGACAGAAGCCACCGGATGTTCTTTTCAGGTCTTGTCATACGCCAACGTTGCATGCCATTTCGCGGAGAAACGAGGTTGTTATCTCATTCACAATTGAACCCCTCCACCTTTCACGAAGTAACTGGTGGTGCATGTCGCGTAGCATACACCTGTCCTCGCAAATTTGTTTCAACTGTTCCAGAACGACAAGGACAAGACCATCACTTCCGCTCCTTCGGTTTTACTAACAAACCATCACGGGCTGGATCCACCTGCTTTGAACGCCCCACGCCATCCTTCTGCGCACAGTCGGGAACTCCTCCATCAATCCCGCCTCTAGCAGCTTGCGTAGATCCCTCCTTTCCTTCTGGCGTTCTCTCCTGACAGTCACCTCGATGAATCTTTGCTGCTGTCGCGGCCGCGGCTGCGGCAGTGGTGTGCCGCCTCCCCTGACGGCCATCATCGGCCCACGAAAGGTTTCGCCGACGTCCTCCCCTCGCCCTTCCTCCGTTCGAGTACCGGTAGCTCCCCCCTTCGTTGGCGTACCCATGACCTCCGTTTAAGGTACCCTTGCTCCTCGAGCTTCTCCTTGTCCCCCCCCCCCGTGTTGAATATTCTTGCGGTCCTGTGTCGCTGGCATTGAAACACCCATGGCCTGACCAGTTATCCCCCCCCCCCCGTCCTCTGCTGCTGCACACATAGCCCACGTCTCTCCCTCCTCCAGTCGAATCCACGTCAGTCCCTCCGTCTGCCCTCGCTCCTCCTTCAATCGAATGCACGTGATTTCCTTCGCCCGCCCCAGCTCCTTCTCCGGTCGAATACACGCGGATTCTCCCGTCTTCCCTCGCCTCTCGTCCCGTCGAATATGCGACGTTTCCTTCGTCTTCCCTAGTCCCTCCCCCGGTGGAATACGCGTGGGTTTCTCCGCCTGATCTAGCTTCTTCTCCAGTCGAAAACGCGCGGTTTCCTCTGTCTGTCCTAGCTCTTCCCCCAGTCAAATACGTGTGGTTTCCTCTGTCTGTCCTAGCTCCTCCTTCGGTCAAACGTGCGTGACTTTCTCCGTCTGCCCTGGCTCCCCCTCTGGTCGAATACGCGTGACTTCCTCCGTCATTGGGGTACATGTAGTACTTGCTGCCTCCTTCCATTCCTTTCGAGAAATGTTGTTGATCGTACGGACCGAAAATTGATGTCTCGCAATACTTTGCCCTGTGAGGACGCAGCACCACCAGTCAATGCACAACAATTTCGAGGGCTGATGGGAACTGGTCGTCAGTCTTCGAATCTAACGGGCCGTCCAATACGACTGGGTGTCAGACAGTCATGACCCTTGCGCCTTGCCCTTTGGGCTCGCGCTTCAGAAACATCGGCGACGGTTAGTGCGCTTCATGGGGCCCTGGTTAGCGGCCGCGTAATCGACGACTATACATGTGTTCAGATCTTCAGATCGAAGGGTTCGCTTTCGAGATCAATAGGTGAGTTCAAAAGTGACAGCTATGTTAACAGAAAACAGAAAATCGACGTCTGTGTCAGCACTACTGTCTTGCGTATCGTCGGATACTCAAAAACTAAATTGACTACAACCTACAGCAGTGTCTGTAGGGTGCACGGAGACAGGCGTTCAAGACGAAGGCACGATGCCCAATCAGAAAGTACCTGAAATTCTTCGTTGTCTCCGACAGGGCGTCTGACTCCTCCACGAGCACTTCGACGCCATCCTGTTCCTCTTCCTGTATGTCGCAAGCCACGACCATCCTGACCTAGGCTAGCCTCGCTGCAGCGCGGGGTGGTTTGTATGTGATTTTTCTCGAGATGCCTGTAGCGGATCTCTCACCGGCGCGACCACGGTCTGCCGTATAGTCTATGTACAGTAGTTTGCGCTCCTCCCCTGGCAGGCCGAACTGTCTGCCCTACTGCTTCTGGTGCTGTTACTGCCGCTGGTGCTGCCACTGCTGTCTCTGGTGGTGCTCGAGCCACAACCTGTCTGGTCGAGCCCCTCACGGCACAAAAAAAACGCGGTGAGATATGATTGTAACCGCAATGCTCCAACAACGACCGACTGCGGACTCTGTCGATGTCTCCACTAGCTTTTTGGCAAACGACCGTACCTCCTAGTACCTTGTGGTGTTGTCCCGTGGCATGCAGACGCGTGCACCTCACAGGACTTTCCGACCGCCGAGGAGGCTTTTGCCTTTGATCGTTGGTCTTTTTGTGCGTAGAGGCGGGCAAGAGGGGCTCCTCCCCTCTCCTGCTAGAAAATAGGAGAACGATCGCGGCACCCAAGATCTTCGCCTCTGAGACCTTCGTGCCGAGATCTTCACCGTGCGCTATGTCTTTCTTCTTTTCGTTGTCTTCTCTCTGTTACTACTTTCATCTTTGTCTCTCTCCCTGATGCTAACCCTCTCCTGCAACAAAAGTACGATCCCAGCAGTCCCGACAGAGCTATATCCGCAGAAATATAAGTACACGAAAGGCTCGAAACCAACAACGGTTTCCCGTCTTGAAACGACTCCCGAACAACAAGTCCTGAATGATGCGGTTTGATGCACCCAGCAGTCTGGAATTGCTGTGACTGTACTCCACGTACTGCCCTATTTCTCCCTGATAAAGTGCTTGTGGTAATGAGCCCGCTCTCGAGATAGACCTCGGGCTCGACCTCGCTCAGGAAGCAGCCCTGGCAGCAAGCAGGAAAGCAAGGATTTTTTGTGGGGTGGGTAGGCCCGTTCCCTGTGAAATAGCGAGGAGGCATTCCCCTGACGGTATCCCAGCATGTTCCCCCAACTGCGAATCCCCCCGCATAACATCACTCGCGACGTCAAGTGCTTCGTCGAGCAACGAGACCGCATTCCCAAGAATCGCTGCTGTGAACTCGGCCGAAGTTCCACGGAAGCGAAGCCTACAAACCGGAGCTTGGTGCCTTGACTTTGCGGTGAGAAAGCGAGGCCGCTTGTTTACGCAGTGCACGCACATCATGTATCATATGCGTGCTCGTCTCTTCGGTGGCTGTGAACGTAAAAGCATCCACCTCCAACAACCTCTTTGCGGCGCAGGGAGTCAGTCTGCTTCTGTTGTTGCCGCGCCTTGCATAGAGAATCCACTGCTACAGCAGTACTGGCGTTGGTCCCCATAGAAGAGCGTTTACAGGTGGGCACACACGTGTAGCTCTACGCGTAACTACGCGATGCACAGCATCGAGAGTTTCCCCGCACTTCTCTCTTGAAGAGGAATGGCAATCGTTCCGACACCGATGTTGCTGTCGCCGACAGGCGTTGCGTTGGTGCACCTCTCCAACTGTCGCAGGCAGCACAGAGCAGTGCCTGTCGCACCGCTTCAATGCACAAGGCGAGTGATGGGAGCCCACCCCCATTTTTTCTGCTGATGGCAGTCGAGTCACGAAATACCGTGAACCCCACGATTCCACGTGCATACCCGGAGTTGGGAGGTGGGACAGTGCCGTAACCGTCATGCGGTACCCCCAGAACCACCAAAGATGGCAATGGTCTTCGTCTTTTGAGCTTTCTCTTGCCGTGGTTTGTGGTAGTGATTTAAATGCGTGTTTGTTGGGGGGAAAGAGAAGAGAGAGATCGAATAAGCGACTGCGGTACCCTGGTATTTATATACAGCAGTCGAGACACAACGTCGGGATGCGCTGTACGAAAAGCAAGTTGGAAGATGACAAGGACAAGAAGAGGGTAGACAGAGACCGAAACAAAGCTACGCCGATCTTGTGCAAAACTGCAGCGGTATGGAGGGGAGGGAAGCTTGGCCCGAGGGTTCACAGCCATCGGTTCTCTGCTTGTCCTCATTGAGCTGGGTCTCTTGAGGTGGTCCATGAGAGAACACAGGCGTGTTTGTCTGACATTGGCACCACCGTCGGTTGTTGCCGCTCGATGGCGCCGCTTTCTTCACTCCACCCTCTGTTACCACGGACCTGACAAGATTGGTGACATTGGCAGCCTCTATCGGGGTTTGTACCTCTATCCAGCCGAGTGTTGAAGGCCTTCCTGTTGAGCTAATGTAACCTACCATGGGTACATGCAGGTGACATGACGTAAGATATCACATACCCTTTGACCGACTTTCAACCTTCCTCCACGAAGAAGAGGATGCAAACATCAATCGATACGTTTCCGGCAAGCTCTCGACAAGATGGTTCCAACACCGCCATTGTCGGCACCGCGAATCTCCTCTTGTGTGGAATAGCCGAGCTTTGAAAACCAATCCAGGGAGTGTGATTTCGTATGTCGCGTACCAGTATGCATGTACTTGGGAGTATGTCCAAGGGTTGTTGTCTTGTTGAAGCACATGTTACGGGATCCCGATAGAATGTATGTGTATCTGCCTGGCTTTTTGTGGACTCTGCCATTCACTTGTCGTGATTTTGGTTTTCCCGGGCATGTTGGTTGGTTGATTTGCTTCTGTTGCTTGTGTCCACCCCTGCCTACGCATTCGTGAAGGGCTAAATCGAACGAAGATATCACACATACACCCTCCATGTCTCCACCCATCAGCTCACGAAAGCACAGATATTGTTTTGGGCACTCATACGAAATGCGCCTAGAATATAGAACGCAACCGGGATGCCTGAGAGGGAGGCCTCACCGACTCCAGCATGCCACCAGGGGGCTAGGTTCGTGTTTTTGCACCCAAGTTAATTTTGCACGGGAGGTGCAGATCTTGTGCTCTTATCCTAATGTTAGCGTTTCTGTGAGCACCGCGGTCACTCCCCACGACAGTGTTGAATTATGTGTGCATGGTAGAGTTTTGAACATCGTGGTAACTCCCTTCAATGCCCACACGCACGAAACGCGCCACTGCTAGATTTATGCGTCCCGATCAAGGTCTACGGCACTGGTGGACCCCCGACACGCGCTGGACTCAAAAGCGACCCCTCCCTTTGCCTGCGACCTTCGTCCCCTTTTTTCGCAGGCCGCGGGGAGCAACCGGAGGCTGGAGGGCGGAGGCGGCGTCGACCGTGAACTGTGTCTGTCGCAAAAGCAGCAGTCAGGGAAGGAGAGGTCGAGAAGCGGGGCGGGAATAGGGCTCACAAACACGGCGAGGGCAAGCTTCTCGTAGGGGCTGCTGCCACGGATGTGAGCTGGTGGTAACGGGTTGTGCATTCCCACCACCGTCATCGAAAACACTCAAAACGGAAGAGGCAGCGGTGACGGCGACGGAGGGTTGGCCCTAGGGTCATAAATCGAGGTCGCATGATGAGGGCCGTGGAAACGTTGCGGCAAAGGCTGCCTCCATCCCTGGGCTACGCGCCGGTGCTGCTCTCCGACAGCGACGACGATGACGGGGACGGGGGCCGGGGGGAGTTTGAGATCGCTGGCGGTAACTTCGGCGGGGGCAGGCATCAGGACCGCGACTTGAGAAGACCGCGGCGGAGAGTTGGCGGCGGGGGGGAAGCGGGGGGCGGCGCGACGATGACGGGGGGCGGGGGGCGGCAAGAGGAGGAGGACGATTTGTTATGGCCGCCGTACACGCCACTCTACACCAACATGAAGGTCTTGAGACGGAAGCGGTTGGACGCTTCCATGATGTATTCCCGCGCGGGGCCATGTGAGTCTTTTTCCGCGGGGGGGGCGCTGGTGCGGTATCGGTTGACCCCTTGAGGGGTGCGCTCGAGAAGCGGTTGGTTGTGTCTCGTGTCCCGGGGACCATGAAACAAAGAAAGGTCTTCGAAGGTGCACCGCCGTATTCAAAGGCTGACTGTTGTGCCTAAAAGTAGCTCAGGTTATTCGGGCACCCAGGTGATCCGCAAAGGAGGGTGCTCAGGTTGTGCGGATGGTCTCGTCCGCCGTCGTCCTGTGGGGCAGTCACTTTTTTTCTGGCGCAGATTATTCTGCTTTTTGTGCTGTGCGGTGCTGCTGTTTTCTGGGCATCATTGTCTTGCCTTATTGGAGCACGCCCACGACGTTCTTTTTTTTTCTATGTTGCAGTAAACGCTCATTCGGCCGTGAAAAGCGAGATTCACACACACACCAACACCCCCTACATGCACGTCCCCCTTGTCATCCACTCCCTACCCCCGACCAACACACAAGACAAATGGTACACAGCCGGCTCTGCCCAACCCCAACCACGTACGGAACACAGGTCGAGTACGGCATGTAGAGCGTGTGTGTCACCTCATGCGTGACCCCTCTGGCATTTCAAAAACACAACCACCGTGTGCCTCGCACACTCTTCAACCAAAACGTAACAACGCCGCACGCTTGTACCCACGTGTACTGCATTTTTAACGAAACTTGCTTATCGGGGCAGGTACAAAAATCTGCTTCTTGACGTCCCTGTGGGGGGCGTCCTTCCTGACCTGGCTCGGATTCACGCTCGCGAGCGGGTCCCCCTACATCATCCCGGAGGACCCTCCGGCGACCAACCTGGCCCGGTCGCGCTCCGTCTTCGGCGCCGCAGCCATGTATCTGGTATGCGCGTGCCTGACCGGGTACTCGTGGTACAAGTCTTCGTGGGGGGCGAGGCCATTACCGACATTGGGAGACTCGACCTTGCCGTAGCACCGGGAGGGAGGGAGGGTTGGACCTTGATGGATTGTTGTGATACTTTTGTTTTCTTCTTGCTGTTCGTGGGGCTCAATGGACCCAATGGAGCGCTCACGGTGGGAAGCCAGACCTTTGACTCTCGATCGATCGTTTTAGACGTTTAGTTTTTTTTTTTCCGTGGGGCTCAGAGGAGCGGCGTTCACGGAAGCTGTAGATTTCGTGGAAATCAATCCTTTGCCTGCGTGGTTGGATGGGAGCCTTGTTGCGCTGTGACGTCATGTTCATATGCGCAGTGTGTTGTGGTGTGCGATGTGCGATGTGCGATGTGCGATGTGCGATGTGCGATTGTATTGCTTTGTTTTTGCGTGGGCTGCGCGAAGCGGCTGACTTTTGAGAGGACGCGAGCGGTTAGGTGGGTGAGAAAACTACTTTTTTTGAGTGTATGTGTGTGTTGAGTTGGCATCGACCGGACTAGCCGGCTGAGCGATGAGAGAGAGATGCACCAAATCTCATATCCTACCAACGAGAAGTTTGTTGTTTGTTCGTGTCATGTGCAACGAACAAGATTGTAGCCGTAGTGTCACGGGGGACGTGAATAGGCGGTAGCTCATGCGGAGCAATAGGTTCGAAAGTCGCAATGTGGAGCTGGAAACAGGCATACGGGCTTTGTTTGGCTCTGGAGTACGGTACGACGGATTCCCCGTAAAGGGTATCAAAGTTGATCGTGCCGGTTGATTTGTCAAGTGTGGTCATAGGTTCTGGGTTGTGGTACTGTAAACTTACGAGAGACCGAGAGATAATCGGAAAGGCTGTCCTTCAGTCAGCTTTCCTGCACCCGTGTTGAGGCCTGGTACGGTTGTAGGGTGGTTCGGGCGAACACGCCGAAAATGTAGCCTGGACGGCGTTGGGATATGTACATCGTGTGTGGTGTGCCAGGCCGGGGCAATCGATGCCCGAGGTCTGGCCTGGGTGTTCTGATTTTCTCTGCTTCACGCCTTTGTTGTCGTTTTGCGAGAGTATCTACACCCTTCCAACAACCTGCTCCAGGTTGTGCTCGGGGGACAGTAGTTCCCATATTCCCTTGTGTGTTCCGCGACGCCCCGCTCAACCCCCGTCCCGAGATATGAATGCGGGGGGGGGGGGGG